CCCCCGTAAGGGCATGGTATTAAACTTTCAAAGTAAAGCAGTGAACTGTAAAATAGAAGACTGCGTAACACGGTCTAGCTGTGCGCCCTCGACCTTTACATAAGTCATGACACAGACGGCCGGTTTTCGCAGTCTACTGATTTCAGACAGTAGAGTTATAAGAAGCGGTTCTGCCGGTAAGAAGCATACACGCGCGTTGCACACTTCGTCTCAAGGACCAGTCTGTCAAGCCTCGAGGTCTACTTTGGACGAAGGTTTCAGGCGGTCGATGACATTTGCACTAGTGTTGCTCTTTTTTATCAGACAAATGCTTAGCCAGTAAAACCAACGCATCATATTTTGAGGGAGGAATTCTCTTTATATTGTTTCGCCACTGGGAATGATAGCCAGCCAGGAAGGGTTTGGGCGGACACGGCCTCCGATTGGGTGAATTTCTGAAATTACCGTGCATGCTCAATCGCGCTCCAAGCGGATTGGTGGATTACTGCACCCTCGGAGCAACTGGCCAATAGTATAGCAGCGCCCCCTGACGAATCGCAATAAGTATTACACATGCAACCTGCCGTAATGGGTAAAAATCGTGTGGTAAAGTAAATTTAAGTTGATATTTTAAACCGGTACCTCGTTCCTTTCATGAACAATTTTCTAAAATCAAATGATTGCACTTCAAGGATGCACCCGTTCTCTATTCTTGCTATAGAAGTTCATGGTCTTTTTTTGTCTAGTAAATATTCAAGTTGCGAATTCAGAAGCCTGTGACTGGAATACATCCGGATGCATCTTGGCTCTTTGCCAGAGTCTTGAAAACACAATAGACATAGGAGCGACAGGAACTGTCCTTGGCGCAACATCAACTTGAATGTGCGCAGTTCACTGGTGAGTGGGCCCCAACTTGGCAAGACCGCGGAGTGATCCGGTCCTTGTCGGGGAAGGGCACAGGGTTTTCTCAGAGGGGGTACTCCAAGCAGAGGTTGATGGTGGAAGATCGTTAACTTTAATTTTTTACACTTTGTAGTAGCTTAGTATAGTTCCCTTGTATGTTCCCTATGTATGTATGTCTAAGTCAAGTGGTGTATCTCTTGTCTCCACGTTTCTATATACGTTTGTTATGTATGTGTCTGTTAAGTCTTGACCTGTACCTAGCCCGTCGTGGCATGAATGTACAATAAAGGTATTTCAATTTTATATATGGCCCGTTACCCCCGCATGGACCCTCTCTGGCCAAGGACGTTCTATGGATACTGTCTGGCCAGTTTGATACTGTCTTTTTGCCACCCTAGGATCTGCTTGGAGATTACTACTACAAGTCTTCAGTCAGAAGCGGGGCATGGAAGAGTAGAAATCGGCCAAATAGGCAGATAATGTGCCGTGCCAGGGGAGTTGGTTCGCTGAAGAAGTACATTTGCCACCGCGTACCGCTATCTGTCTATTTGGCCAATTCCCTGGCTTTCAAGCCGTTTACAACTGTATGTCACCACTGACCCTCTCTGGCCAATGGATACTGCTTATGCCACCCTAGGATCTGCTTGGAGATTAGAGTCCACCCGTTTCGGGTAATGTGGGACATATTAAAGGACAATTCAGCAAAAACAATTACATGGCCTACCGCCTAGTATGATGTAATTTTGGGATGGGATTGCTTAATTTTGTCAGCGAGACAGAAATCGCGATAAAGAATGCTGACCAACAAAATAAAAAAAGTTTGAAGTTCGTCCGTCCTGAAGTAACCACTGCGCATACTTGGACCAAGGACGTTCTATTCCTTGCTTAGACGCACTTTGACTGCGTACGTTTGGTCTGTGTTTTTTTCTCTAAGGCCACACCACTAAATTTTATGGATGACGTCCGCGCGCGCATTGATTTTGGCCTGTTCCTAGAAAAAAAAAAAAAAACAAGAAATTCCACTTCCTGTAACTATGACCAAAGAGTCACGACAGTGTTGCAAATCGTCAGATTGACGTGAAACCAGTAACGCGAAAACAGGACAGGACGACAACTGCTATTCCACCTGATTTATTGCTGTTTTGATGATGAATAAAAGACTTCTTGCTTGTTACACTGTGTCACCTCATTCAATTTGTGTCCTAACATTTGTCGTCTCTTAGTATATTTCTAATCTAGGCATCTTGTTTTTTAGGGCCCTTCTTGTTTTTTTTTTCGCCCTCTCGCATTAGATTTAGGGTCTCCAAAGGACGTCATCCATAAAATTTACTTGGTGTGGCCTAACAAATAGCGCTAGCAGTCACGACTTGCTTTGCTTCTATATCCGTATTCTGAAAAACAAATCGTGCATCACGGTATGGACCGGTATTTACAAAACACCGAGTGAATGTCCTTGCTCACACGAAATACCTGTCTATACTTAGTGGATTGACTTTGCAAATGCGCAAGAGCAACTATAACTTGCGCGCAAAAAAATACCATCCATTGTGTCAAAATTGTATTACATGTACCCAAAACAAGGATCACAACTATTACAGTAGTATCGATGGAAAGAACCCCCATTAAAAAAGTAGTTGTAATTCTTTTACATCATTGAAAACACTGTTATCATTTTATCCAGGACTGCATTTTTACTCCTTGGTAAACGGTAAGCTATTGGCCGGATTACTGGAGGAAATCTTGAACACATTGGCCGGAAAATATGCAGGGGGTACGGATTATTCTTCTGAATGGCATAAATCGACTCGAGATGTTTACTTTAGTTTTTCTATTTGAGAAAAGCTTATTTCAAGTGCTAGCATGACATCATCCGGGATGACCTGTACACCACGGCCCGATCAGCTGTTGTAGCCACGCCTACCAACCAGCGGCGCGCACTCTGATTGGTCAGGCGGCGCGTCATGACGTATTTAGTCGACGTGGCGCACCGCTGTCCCATCCCTGTTTTTCGGCCGCCCATGACGTCCAAAATAGATAATAACAACCCCTGAACGCCCCGAGTGCGCGTCATATTGTCTCTACACCAACGCCCAGTGCGTGCAACCGTAGTAAAACAACCGGTCGGGCAGAAATTCTGGACAATCTGCGACCAAACTACGCACTACTTTTCCCCAGTGGAAGCACCCCCCATTTCCGTGTGGGTTGTGCGGTCCCGGATTCCCAGTCGTCTGATCCTGACCAGAAAGCGTCGCGCAGACGACGTTTTTCGGCGTTTCCTCAAATTTTGGCGTTTTTCGCCAATTTCTGCTGTACCTTCGGCTCAGGCTGCTCGCCATGGACAGCTTAGCGCACGACAGAAAGCTCAGCGAGCTCAGCACTAACGACTTCAACGATATTCTGGACGCAGACGTCTTCAGACTGGTACGTAAACTCCGCAGTAGTCGCGTTACCCTTTCCAAAATAATTTCTTGCCGGTAGACAAGATAGCCACACCGGTGCCCCAAACTCGTCTAACGTAGTCTGTTTACCACCCACAAACAAAACCTCTGTTCAATATTTGTAGAAAAATGTGATCTTATAGAGTTTTTGTAGAAAAAAAAGGTACATGTAGGATTTTAAAGGTAAGCTCACTGGTCAGGTGGGGCGGTGACGCCCCCCTCCCACAAAAAGCATGCTTATTTTACCGGCGCCCGAGGCGGAAGTTACCTGACGCACGTTTCTCACCAGTTACGTCTGAAAACGCAAAGGCTAAAGCACTCAGCAAAGGTCAACTACCTTAAGACGTAGAAACCGTACAATATTTGAGATTATTGACGAAGATCATAAGGTGTTATTTTGTGTGACAATTTCTAACGAAATGTCAGCTTGCTTCAAGCTACGGCATATCACGACTTCTCGGAAGGCCAGTGGCTCTAAAAGTCGGCTACCAATTACCCAATGCATTCTTTAAGAAAACAGTTCCTCCTATTTTTTAGTCCATTTGTAGCCATTCGTTATGCAGACGTAATCAAATTTTATGTTCGAAAACTACCCCCAGAGATCATTTTTGGCGATAGGAAATTATATGACGGTTACACCATATGTTTACACCATATTGAAACATCCGTAAATTTGATTTCCGTCAACAAGAAACCTGAGTACTTGTTGACCAGATACTTGGGGATAGTGATCACCCTGTTGTCTTCCAATTTGGATGCAAATCTATGCTGTTGACAGCAGTTTTTTTCCAAGGCTACTAGTATTTTGTTTTTCACAAACCACGGGGTGCTCTCTGCAGAGTACAGTGCCCCTCCCCCTTTTGAATCTGGACTTTGTATTTTGTAAGCACGTTTAAATACGCGTGTTCAGCTGAGGATTAACTAACCATACTCCATAGACTTCCAAAAGGTATAATTGTAACAATTCTAGACAGAAAACTGTATTTTTGGGGGCAGGATTTTATTCAATATGGTAGAAAGTGAGAACTGGGACATCTGGAGCAATAGATCCCCATTCCAACCAGGATGTAGAAAATGTCTTTGTTGTTCAAATTTGAAGTGTTTGCATTTGGGATGCCTTGGGTACTAAAACATGCAAAATGCTGTAACAGCTTTCAGCCTGTAGTGTTGGTTTATTGACGTATTTAACGGTAGAATTAGGAGAAACAAACCAGTGGAAAATTGATACTAGTATTTGGTTTCACTGTGGAAGCTAAACCTGATAGTGAGTGAGTGAGTAAGCGAAGTTAGGAAATACTCATATTCTGGGTGAAAAAAAGCCATGCACAAATCCAGATAGTCTGCGACCAATTTAATATGCAGATACGAAACTGATAAGGCAGCTATTCTCTAACCACCATCTCATTAGTAGGAATATTTAATTGGAATCAGTCCTAGTTAGAAATTCAGCAACAAATTAGGGAAACTACCTAAATTTTCTTTCAACATTCATGTGGAAGTTTATTTGATATTTGAGCTTCTTTTTCTAGGAACAATATGTAATTTCAGGATGTGAACTCCAAAAGAGAAGCCTGTTTCTTGCCCTAGATACTCAAGTCCTACTGCTTTTTGCCCTGGAATTCAGAGAACCCCCTGTTGTGTGGAACCTCCCCCAGGATGGTCTAATGCAAACCATCTTGAAGTCAGTTATTGTAGTTCACAGCTAGGGGCCACATATCTGCTAAATTTCTGGCAATCTGCACTGTGATGCAAATCAAGTCAAGATAAGCCACTGACAATCATTTGCCTTTCATCATTTTACAAGTGTCGTAGTTGATGGATTATTCAATAGCTATCATGTATGTGTAAATTTACCATGATGAAGGCAAATTACATGTTGTAAATGTAAAGCAATACATACACATGTACACATACTTGTTGATACACATTTATGTGTGTCACTGGTATGTACATGTATTCAGGTTTAGACCCATCCTATTAATATTATGTTGCTAAGATGTAGAGGATCTCTTAGCTACTGTAGTCCTGTGCTTTCCTGGTATGAATGTGTCATCACTATGAACGAATTATAATGCTGATAATGCACTGGGGAATTACACAATTTTAAGGGAATGAGAGTCTCAAAAATGCTATGACACCTTTTAAAGTTTACAAAATACCAGCCTGCAAAATACAGGACATGGAAGAGAGATTTCAAGGAGGAAATGCTGGTGTGAGTTCCAAGAAAAATCACCCTGGGATCCTGGATTTGTTCCATCAGGCACTGGTTTTGAATTTCATCCTGGCTTTCAGGGGGGTGCATTTCTCGGAAAAAAGGAAGAGACGGGAAAGAAGTGCTTTTTTAAAAATAAACTAGAGTTCCACGATCTCATACCTTCGCCAAATGATGTTAACTTTTATGAATGAGAACTTATATACAATGTATTAATCCCCCTGATTATGCAAATAGGATCCGCAATTGCATGAATTATATCTGTTGATCATAATCTCCACCAACAGTCTTATTTTAACAAAGAATGCCATTATAGCATTTCCTCATATATTATGCAAATGAGGTCCTTATTTGAATAAGTTATGTTAAATTATGTTTACCTTCACTAAACTTCAAACACCCCAAGTATAAAATTCCAGGCAGTTACCACTATGCAATTATAACATTTTCTCATTAATTATGAAAATTAAGTCTTCATTTGCATAATTGATATCTGCCTGTGTTTCTCTCGTTGTTAATAACATATGTCACAAGCTTGAACTTCCTATCATGGAATGCAGTTGATTAATAGAATTTCCTTATTAATTATGCAAATTACATCCATATTTGCATAATTGTAATATCATTATGTCAAGCATTACTCAAGCTACCTACATACCAAAAATCATGATGATCCATCAATCGGTTCTTGAGTTATCCTCCTTTAAACATTTGTCCTTTAAACCCCCTCGCAGTTCTAGAGCAAGCAACTAGGGGGCCCAAACTCACGTCACTTCTTCCCCAGCACAAGAGCTACCTGCCATCCAAATTTCGTCACCCTAGCATGTCTGGATCATGAGATATCAAAACCGGAAGTTCAGCTGCAGTACCATAACAAGCCGCTAGGGGGTCCAAAATCTAATCATTTCGAGGTCTCATCAAGACCTACCCATCTACCAAGTATCAAGACAATCCATCAATGCTTTCTCAAGTTATCGTGTTGACAGACACACACACACACACACACACACATACACGAACGCCCCTGAAAACATAACCTTCTTGGCGAAGGTAAAAATATAACAATCTGGTTATGGACTTATGAGTTATGTATGATGCTGGGATGGAAAAAAGGCAGTCTGCTAGACCGTGAAATTGTATCACAAGCTAAACCATAGCAACCAAGAGGCATGCTGTCTGCGCAAGCTGGAGTTGTTTTGCATTCCAGTACACTGGCAAATCTATTGCTGAAGTCAGCTTGTTTTGGTATTTGTAAGCAAATTGTCAGCATTACCACTTCCAAGGACTCCAATGCATAATTTAATTTTAGCAGACAAAAGGCACATTGTGGGCTTCATTGCATCATTGTTTACACTGGTTGGAAATCTGATAGTGTCACTTGGGACATGGCATTGACCCTGTATTGCTTTGCATAAAGCTATTTTGGCCAGTAGTCAAATCCAAAATAGCCTATGATATTGGCTTGTGACATAATATTATGTGAATCATTTTTTTCCAATGCCAATTTGATTCTGATTTCTATTTCTAGAAAAAAATCAAGGAAAAAATCATTTTTTTTAATTATAGTGAAACTTTAGGCTAAACCAATGGGTAGACCTGGTAGTAGACATAGTTTGAACACTGTGTCTATTTGTTCTTGAACCAAGCTCAAGTGATAACACAGATTATTATATGACATTGCATCATAGTATAAATAATTGACAAAGCTCATTTTCATTTATATCTACTATCTGTAGACGCAGAACACAGTGAATGATGATGATGATACATCTATTCATTTTTGCAGATGCAATGAAATTCATCAATAGTTTTTTGACAGAGCTTTGTCTCATACATGTAGAAGTCAGTAAGGACTACAAAGAAGATTGCGTTATTTTCATTTGACAGAGCTCGTACATTATTGTACAAAAGTTCCATTGTGCTAAGACCCCCAGCTTTGTTCTAAAGGGCTACTCATTTAAGCTGAACAAACCTGTGGTTTACTTAATTGCAAATAATTGTGCCCTATAGGAAGAGGTGGTGCCTGGCAGTGCCATCTAAAATTGTCCATTTAGTAGTCTAAATTGCAAGTTGTGCCCATGCAAAGTTTTGGCATTTTTTGGTGGCAGTTTCCTATATTTTTAGAATGAACAGCTATATGATTTTGACATTGCTGACTGTTAGTTACTAGAAATACAGTTCATATATACATTACATGGTGTAAAATCCTCTAACAAACCACCAAGGTTTGGAATACAGGCAACACCCTTGTTTAAATGGGCCCTGTGAAATTTACGCAGTCAACGATAATTACCGTTTGCGTAAGGACAAACGAAAAGTGTGAAGCGTGACAACTAGTGCGCACGGTAGCTTCCATGGGGTGACGCAATGAGAAGGGGCGTGTGCCGATTCTGACAATGCATGATTTAACATGATTACGTGAAATACTCTACTTCAGATGCATATCAGGTAGCCACCTTTGTTCATTTCCAGTGCGTGAAGTCAAACTTTACTCAAGACACGCTAAGGAAAATCCTGAGGTTTCTTGAGCTGGAAAAGACGTATTTCTGAAAAGGTCACTCCACAAATGTTGCTTCAACCATATCATAGCAGCAAAGTAGAATTATTCCCTTGGATTACGTGCTTCAAGTTGTTTTCACCTGGATGCATAGACACAAAATGTGTTTGCTCTTTAGCATTTCCATCTGTGGAAAAAAGCTGCTAAGGAGATAAGAGAACAATGCATGTTGCTGATAACATTATTTCTCTGCGCCAAGGGATACGTCATTTAC